AACTATCAATGAATTTGTATCAAATGAGATGAGAAGAGTGTTTAGTAGAGAAATGATGATTAGTTTGTTCTATAACATCAACTTTTGTTTTTTTTTTTAACTGTCAAAATTGTTTCACTATTCTGCTGTATTTATCAATAATAATTATAAATAAACAAATCAGAATTTGTTTAGAAACTTTACTTTTGCTTTTACTGATTTCAATATTGAAAATTTTTCATTGAATATACATGATTATATATTTTACTTTATCATAGAGCAAGAGAGAGAAATAGAGATAGTTTCAGTATAAGAAGATGGATCTACCTTGCCTTGCACCTTCATAGACAGAAAAAGAGGGAAACTTAAATAAGCCAAAGTATTGAGTTAAGACACATAACATAATGATCTAAATAGATTAGAACAAGAAATCAACAATTAAATATACCACTATCAAAGGCTAAAAAATGAATATTATGTCAAACTTCTCTAGAAGGATTTATATGCTACGTTTTTGAACTTATTTTAGATAAAAAAGCTATCTCTTCTGAGAGTGAGCCATTTTTCAATATGATTGGATTTGTAGGTCAATAGTTTTAACAGTTTTCCCGAGGTTTTAGATAGGAAATGAAGTTTTTTCAGTAGACGCTTGCAGGAGATCCACAGGTTCCATCGTTAGAAATACTAACCTAGGTGGCCATCACACAGTCTTGATCTCACTGTTTTGAATTAATACTTGTGGCATACTACAACCAATAATATGCAATGAAATAAAATCAAAAATGATGATTTTGTAATTGATGAAAAAAGAAAATGATCATGTTCGCAGTATGTAAAATGTGTTATACAGTCTTTTGCCTTCATTGAAAAGAAACGGCGTATATAAAAAAAAATTGAATCAAACATACAAAATGATAGAAAGAAAAACAATTAACACAAAACTTAGTAATTCTTTATTGATTACTCATTAGATTAATATGAAAAAGTAAACTGCGTTTCTTAATAAATCTATTATATTATAATTATTATTCTATCTACACTTGTACAATTGTCGTTTACGACTAATTTTCATATTAAATACATAGTTACGAAAAATTTTCAAATTAAACATAGACTAATACTTTTATTAGTTTAGGTTTTTTTGTGTATGAAAAAAATTTCAATGAACAAATTACTCGAACCTCAGTTAAATATAAAAAATGAATGAAAAAGAATCTATATTTTAATTAGACATTTTATTGTCGTGAATGAATTGATTCATGAATAAATTTTCTTTTTCTTTGAGTTAAATCAACTGCTTTATCACCATAATCTTGAACAATTCAGTCTGCTGTTATTAAATTTCAACACCTATTTATAATCAATCATTTTCATTCTAAATATTTTCGAATTTTTTTCTTTTCATACCTAAACCAAATCGATAATCATTAAAAAATCGTATACGAACGTTATAAAAAACACATGCATTATCAACATTAGTTATGAATTCATTGGTTGCATTTTCTAAAATGAAAACTCTTATATTTTGTTTTTGTTAACTATATAATTAAATAATTACAATTTTTAGTTACAATCGAATCTATATGATTTGAACAGAATTTATTCATATGTACTATTGGATCATTAATATCATCTATGACTTCAATACAACATTATAGATCTTCATATTTCATATGTAATGTATTTGCTAGTGGTGATGGTGGAAATGCAAGTAATACCGAAAGACATGAACCTGAATAAACTATCATCTAGAAACAGAAAAAAAATAACAAATTCTTTAACCTATTGATAAAAATACTAATTCATTGAATTAATCTTTTCAGCTCGAAATAAATGAATGAGTGATTCAAAAAATGTTGTTCGAATAAGATCTTTATATACAAGTAATATTTCCATATAGCATTACATCCACTTGAATAATCACATATTGAATCTCGTACTAAATATACGAAATAGAGATATTGCAAAAAATTTCATATAAACTTTATATCTTTATCAATACGTAAAGTCATATCTAAATTTGCACCTTTATCAATAAATACATGACAAATACCTTCAGCATGACCTAAGACAAGTATTTGTACACTTTGTTTTTGTATAGAACGAACAAGTTCATTTGAAGCATGTGGAATAACAAGATCAATGTATTTTTCCAATCGAAGAAGATTAGCTACTTGTTCACATGTATTAATCTAACGTAAAAAAAAAACTTTTCTTAAGTCTTCATTTTCAAAAAAGAACAACAAGAATCTTTAATTACCAAAGCAATTGTATTACGAGGAACAAATGGTTCAAGTGCATCTTTCATTAATTTTATTAATATTTCATTTGAATATGTCGCTTCTGAGAATCACCTTCTAATAAAAGATCATTTCTTGAACAGATAGATAACGCAGCAATTTGTGGTAAACGATCTGGTCAGAATTCAAATATAGCAAGAAGAACACCAATTCGTCTTTGTTATTTGTTTTAACATGAGTCCATCAGATACATGTGTTTGTCGAACAACTTGTCCTAAAATATATAACAATATAGATGTTAGGATAATCTTCGTTGGATAAAAAGTGTGAAACACAATGGAACTACTGTCAGTAGAGAATTCACCAGTCAGTTTGTAATAAGGACAACGGAAAGTTATTTTAAGGTGCCGCTAATGCAAAAATCGAGCAGAAAACGAATCTCGACAAATTATGCATCAGTCGATAGAGATTTTCACGCTAATTCAGAATATATATTTTCCAAATTTTCAGATCTCACCTGAACCGAGAAAATCGCAAAATACAAAAAAATTCAATAAACCCAAAAAAAGCTGCTTTTTCATCATTAATTTCAGGCTTGATGCATCTTTGATTAGACTTTTTTCAAGAAAAGTATATTATTTAAATCAAGCACACAAAACTGTGGTTTTAAGATGAGTTTGATGAAATTTCATCAATCTCGTGACTTTTGGTTAGCTTACTAAGACCTACCTTGTATATTATCGAGAACCTTACTTTGTAAACCTATCTCCTTTTTTTTCTGTAAGAGCTAAAATAGGTTTTTTTCAAGCATTTCAACCATTAGATCAATAAGAAAAAAGTTACGTATGCTCGTAATCCAGAGTTTTAGCATTGTCAAGAAAATTCACATTTTATGTAACCATGGTAAAATATGACAAAAAACGCTTGAAAATCTGATCATTTTTTCGAATTTAATTTCGAACGAATTGTTTTCATGCGAAATAAATATGATATTCGGAATCAGCTCAACAAAATCACGTCGAATAAGCTATATTTTGCCAGAAAATGGTTTCCATCAAAATGTCACCTGTACCCCCCTTCAGGACAATATTGAGGGGAAACACAGCTGAGGTGGACCACAGGCAAAATTTCGATGGAAACTATTTTCTGGCAAAATATAGCTTATTCGACGTGATTTTGTTGAGCTGATTCCGAATATCATATTTATTTCGCATGAAAACAATTCGTTCGAAATGAAATTCGAAAAAATGATCAGATTTTCAAGCGTTTTTTGTCATATTTTACCATGGTTACATAAAATGTGAATTTTCTTGACAACGCTAAAACTCTGGATTACGAGCATACGTAAATTTTTTCTTATTGATCTAATGGTTCAAATGCTTGAAAAAAACCTATTTGAGCTCTTACAGAAAAAAAAGGAGATAGGTTTACAAAGTAAGGCTCTCGATAATATACAAGGTAGGTCTTAGTAAGCCAACCAAAAGTCACAAGATTGATGAAATTTCATCAAACTCATCTTAATACCACAGTTTTGTGTGCTTGATTTAAATAATATACTTTTCTTGAAAAAAGTCTAATCAAAGATGCATCAAGCCTGAAATTAATGATGAAAAAGCAGCTTTTTTTGGGTTTATTGAATTTTTTTGTATTTTGCGATTTTCTCGGTTCAGGTGAGATCTGAAAATTTGGAAAATATATATTCTGAATTAGCGTGAAAATCTCTATCGACTGATGCATAATTTGTCGAGATTCGTTTTCTGCTCGATTTTTGCATTAGCGGCACCTTACATTCAGACAGGCGCAGAGAAGCTGACATGAACAGACTTACCTATGTTCAATATCTTGAACCGATGGCATAGTCTGATTAACTCGAAATCGACCTATCATTATTCCACTATATTAAAATTTTGAAACATTCCATGTGAGCAATGCGTGGCTGCTGAGTATCTAGAGATTGTATCCTAATACAGACACTTTTTCATTGTAATAACGATGATCGAAGAAATTCTGTTCCAAACTATTACGAAACTATGAATAATGAATATGAACAATTTTGCGACAAAAATAGGAATGTCACTCTACCGTTGGATAGTTCTGCGAAAGGAAAACGTTTCAATGCTGAGAGATTTCTCTGTGAACGACCTAATGATAGAAACTAACGGATGGTTGGTTGTGTATTTCTCACTTAGTAGAACCAAAAGCTCAATTAACTATACAACACTAGGATAAGTTATCCGATTCTATCAGAAAACTCGCCAGATCTGTCAAAATCCAGATGAGTTTTGTCCGAAGTTGGTGGAATTGCAGAACAGGATTTCGTCAGTCGGGCCCAATTGATGGAAAACGTTGGAATAATCGTCATTCTGATAGGATATAACTAAAGCAATTCTATCCTGGTCTTCTATGAACTTTAAATAAGTTTCAAATGAATTCGATAGTTCTAGGTCGCAGTTTTGACTTGAGATCATGAAGAAAAAGTGACTACATGAAAAAAATTCTCCAATTCTATTTTGACGAGTTCTACTACAGCTAAGTTTCATAATAAGAATAAGAAAAGAAGAAGATCATCAACAAATGAAGAAGGAAGAGTTTTTTCGAAAAAAAACAAAAAAAGGAAAAGGAGAAGCATTCACAAGTCAGTCTATTATGAAATGTTTAGATATTGATAGCAATCAATTGTTCTAACGGGTGGTCGGAAATTATTTGCACAAAATATTGGTACACTTTTGACCCGCTAGAAAGTACTTTCCAC